CACACACACACACACACACACACACACACACACACACACACACACGCACATGCATTCTCCTGGCTATTGATGGGGAGTGCCACCTGCTGGAAACTGGGTCCAGAATTCCATGAACATCGTGAATAAAGCATCAACTTGGACCCCACACACACACTCTCCTCGAGTTGTGTATAGCGAACATGACAAAACATACATACAGCATTTTCACTACCATACCCTTCCCGAACCACATAAACAAACGAACTACGGGCTGCGCACCCGTGACCTCACGGTAAGTCAATGAATAAAACGCACCCCTGACGGGCTGCGAACACAGGCGGGGTGGGGACCCCACGACACTGGGACCATTACAGCTCGCAGTTTATGGGCTACTGCCCTCTTTCGGAGAAAAAGCCAAATGAAAAAAAAACAGGGAACATTTTCGAAATGCCCCTCTGACATCCATTTATTGTGGGTACGCCCCTCTGATGGCTGACTTCCCCTGTCGCACCCCTCTGACAATGATTGAAGTTTCTGAAAAACCCCAGGTCTCATTTGAGCCTGAAATTTGTTCAATACGCCCCCACCGTTATCGGTTCCAAATTTCCAGTATGCCCCGGTAGGTCCCCTCCCGGAACCAGGGGAACTGCTGCGAGTGCCACCAACGGCCACAGGGGCATGCTGGAAAGTTGCACCCCTCACTGACAGGGGCCTGCAAGAAACTTTAGACGCCCCAGGGGCACGACAGGGTCAGTCGGCCATCGGAGGGGCATACCACAAATAAATGGAAGTCGGAAGGTTATTGCGAGAGTTTTTCATAAAAGACAAAATAACAAAAAGAAAGGAATAAGAAGTTGTCGACTTCAAGGGTTCTCTCTGGGAAAGCACTCCATGGAATCCGAAGAGCCTGCCTCCCTGACCACTCTCTGCGAATGTGAAAACACGAGCACTCCACGGGATCCGAAGAGCTCCATGGGCACCCTGCAAATGTGAAAACACGCGTTCTCCTCGGGATCCGTCCGTTGTTGAAATGTAGACCGAAGTTCGAATCCCGCCGTGTGAGATGTTCATAATAGAGGGAAGACCTACAGGTCATTATAGCTGAATTTGGACCATCTTTCAGTCTAAATTCAGCTAGAATGACCGTGCGTTGTATTCGGGGGAAAACTGTTGCAAGAAATGGGCTTAGCTCTGTTGGTACACCCATAAACTGTTGATGAATTGCAGACCAGCGTTCGAATCCAGCGGCCAATTTTCCTCAACTGGCTACCAGACGTTCAGTTTCACGATGATATGTCAAGGCTGTCGCCCTCTGAAAAAAGGGGGAAAAAAAAAAAGAAAAAAAAAAAGAAGAAAAACTTGAAAAAAAAAAAAAAAAAAAAAAAAAAAAAAAAAAAAAAAAAAAAAAAAAAAAAAAAAAAAAAAAAAAAAAAAAAAAAAAAAAAAAAAGGGAAAAAAAAGAAAGGAAAGAGCGACCGACTACTGGTACTGCAGTCGGTGAGTCACGGGAGTAGTGCGGCCGCTGCAGCGAGCCCCCAAGAGCCGCCTGCCGGGTCTTCCGCGCGAGAAGGGGGGAGAGAGAGAGAGAGAGAGAGAGAGACGGTACTGGAATCGGTGAGGCAAGGTCGTAGTGCAGCCGCTGCAGCAGCCCCCAAGAGCCGCCTGCCGGGCCTTCTGCGAGATATGGGGAGAGAGCGAGAGAGAGAGAGAGGACAAGAAAGCGCGCGCGCGCGAGCGCTCGCTCTCGTGAGGGAGGGATGAGAGAGGGGGAAGAGGGAGAGAGAGGGAGAGGGAGAGATGAGGTGGGCGGGCGGGAGGAGACCGGCGGGGTAGGTAGTGCGTGAGACGACGCGTGGGAACGGTTGCGCTCGGGGGAGATAGCGACCTGAGGGAGCGAGCGAGGGAGGGAGCGAGGGAGGGAGGGAGGGAGGGAGTTGGAGGAGGAGGCGCAGTCAGGCAGGCAGTCAAGCAGGTAGCACAGTAGCGATCTGAGCTCTGTTACTGCCGGGGCCTCCGCGATAACCGGGTGGGTTGGGAGGCAGTCTACCTCCTAGAGTCTGGGAGAGAGAGGAGGAGGAGGAGGGGGAGGAGGGGGGAAGGGGAGCGGGCGGAAGGGCTGTCGCGGCACGTCACGGCTCGCTCACCGTCTGTCACAGCCAGCTGTTACGAAGTCAACGCGCGCACTGATCAGCGCATCCGGGGGAAAGGACAGCTAGGACGAGTGCGCGCCGCGCGCCAGCGAGCGAGCAAGCAACTGCGAACCAGAGCAATCAATTAGCCAATCAATCAATCAATCAATCAATCATCCCAATGAATCAATCAAACAGGGAGCCTCACGTGGCAGGCGACGAGTTCGTAGGGTAGAGCGATATCAGGGGGAAGAGGGGGAAGAAATTTGACAGCGTGGGCGCGAGGTCCTTCAGTAGTCGTGGACGACGGGGAGAGGGCAGAAAGGAGAGCTCGCGCGCGCGTGCCGGTGCGCGTGTGTGCGCGTGTGTGCGCGTGTGTGCGCGTGTGTGCGCGTGTCCGTGTGCAGACAGCTGTGATCTGGGTGATCTGGAAGCGTGGGTGATGAAAGAGAAGAGGTAGCATTGAGCGGACGGAGGGAGGGGGTCGGGGGGAAGGGGCGGCGGGGAAGTAGGGGAGCTTGGGGAGAGGGGGGGCGGAGGGGGAAGGGCCTGCGAAACTGTAGGAGGAGGAGGAGATGATGGGAGGTGAGCTTTCGTCTTCGCTGTGCGAGACGAGCCATCCTCTCTCCGAGCACAGGCCTCCCACTCCCACCTTCGTGGAGCGGCCCCGCTCCCCTCCACCCATCTCTCCCTCCTCCACCAGCATCGTCTGTCTGACTTTGACCTCTAGTTTCGATACTCCGAGTCCATCTCCATCCCTTTTTCGACGTCGACTTCTATCTTGACGCGCACCTCACTGTCCGTGTTTCCGTGCGAGCGTGCGTGCGTGAGAGTGTGTGTGTGTGTGTGTGTGTGTGTGTGTGTGTGTGTGTGTGTGTG